GCGCGGCGTACGACCACTCGAGACGACTCGTCCGACCCCGAACTTCGAACGACCAGCGACACCGCTGACTCGCTGGACCAGCGTTCCCGGTTCTTGGCCGGTCGCGTATTCCTCTCGATCGGTGCCGTCGCGTTCGTCAACGGCAACGTCTTGGAAATCCGGCCGTTCTATCGACGGTGTTCCAATTCGATAATCGTATCGGCCGCGCGCATTCAATAATACGGCGTTTTTACGAGATATCCGGCAGCGGAATATCGAGGATTTCGCACAAACAGCCTGCTCGCCGACCCGATCGATCCGCGAGCATTAACCTCGATACCATTAACGAGTTTACGATCGATTCGACCCGATGCGAAAGAAACGACGCGCTAGGTATGCGCCTCTTCCTTTCTTGTTCCGCAGCAGCTTAGCGAGCACGACGAGCGGCTCCGATCCTCTCGTCGCCTCCCTCTCTTTCCATCTTTGCTCTCTTCTCCGTCGCGTCTCGACGATGTGGAGTATTCCGCGAGCGGATCTTCGTAACGAGAAGTACTACTACCTACCTTGTTAGCTTCGTTCGTGGAAGCGCGCCCTTGCAACGAGCCGCTGTAAGAAAGCTAGACCAGAAGCAGAGTCGCACGCCACTCGTTATTAAATTCCACTCGGTCATCGCCGAACGTGCAAACAACGTTCGCGTTGAATAGTTTCGTTACCTCGCGACATCGCGGTCGAACGCGCGAATCGGTTTTCGCGCGTGTCTCTGGAAAAAAAACGCGGAATTAAGACTCGATCGCGCTATCCGCGATCATGGACGCACGCGCGAGCAGGACGAAACGGAGGAATCGAAGAACGAAAAACAGAGGAGAGCAGATTGGACGGACAGCGGAGGGAAATGGACGAAGGAGAGACGAGTGAGAAACGGTCCTGTTTGTAACGAGCGGAACGTCAAACTGCAATCGCGTCGTTCGCTTTTGCTTTCTTTCGCGTAACGAGTGCAAGGTCGTGCGGAAACCTCGCTCGGCACAGTCCTCCGACCGAGTATCGCCTCGCGACCGTTACGGAGAAATTTCGCCTACTACGTAGGACGCGGGGCTCCTTCGATGACGCGAGGACCGCTCTCGCTGCTCGTTGCAACGCCACGGGACGAGCACGAAGCCGAAGAGTACCGTTGCTCCGCGATATCTCCTCTTCCACTCGAACCTTACGTTCGTTTTTCTCCACGTAACGGACAGCGTTCGAATCTGTTTCGACCGAGCGTCGGGTTCGTTACACGATATCGCTGTTGTCGTTGTTGACGCGTTGTCGGTAGCCGCGCGCGTGTCGATCGCCACGGCTCGTATCCGGTAGGCGCAACGCTTCGCTCGAGCCGCGCCGTGATCCGCTCCACGATAATAACGCGTATCGTATCGTGTCGTTTCGTATCGTATCGCATCGTATCGTATAATATCGTAAGGTGTGACAGAGGATCGGATCGGATCGAGTCGAACTCGGATTAACTCGCGCGAGAACGTACGCGTACGTATTGCACATTCGGTGTACGTAACGTGGGACATGCTCGCGGCAAGGTCGTTTAGGGATATCGCTCGCACGCGAGCCAAACATCTTTCGCGACCTGAAAAGGCAAACCTCGGCCAACGAGTTCGCTTTCGATTCACCGGTCGACCGTTGCTTAACGTTCGCCCGACTTCGGCCGATTTTCTCATCTCGCCGAGTGGCCCTTCCTCCCGTCTTCCTCCGAAGCTTATCGCGAGAAAGAAACCACGCCGCGAAAAGACGTGCCAGCCGCGCGCCATAAACGATCGATCGAGAGCATTTGTTTGAATTAGCAAAATAAACGAGCGGCAAACGCTGAACAGACGTTCGCGTGGGAAGCGCCGTTTTCGAAATATCGTTGGCAGCGTCGCGATCCGCTTGGCTACGCGACCACGCGCGAACCGCGAAACGCGAACCACGCGACTCGTCTTTCTTCCATCGTAACATTCCGATTCGCGGGATCAACGAAAAGAAACGATTCCTCGAACAGATTCCAGTCGCGAAATTTATTTTCTCTTGCGATTCTACGACGCGACGACGTTGGCCGATACGCGCGCGCGTTACACTAGCGGCTATTTTCGGCGAATCGAGCGTACGCAGCCTTCGCGCGCGTAACTACCGACCGCGCGATGTTCGCCGAGCGTTACTCGAAAAACAAAGCCGCGCGCTCGTCTTCGCCACGCTTTTCCTTTCGAACAGATAGCGAGAGTACAACGTCGGAGTACGTTCGACTCTGCCATAGTTGCGAGCCCACGACTCGACCGGAAGCTCGAGTTTTCCGAGGATCAGAAAAACGGACGATAAATTTGCGGAAGTCTCGAGGGACCCTGTCGTTACCGTACCTTATCTTACGACTCATCGTTATCTTTCGGCTCATCCCTATCTTCCGGCTCGATCGGAACGATTTTCGTGGAATCTTTGAAACCGTCGGCCTCTCCATCTTCCATTAGGATGATTTACGAGAGTCCATCGAGCGAGACGTTGCGCGCTGCTTTCTCTCGACCCAGGCCGCCGGTCGACCTTCTCGGGCCGCGCGAAATTTTCAAACACGCGACTAACGTACAAAGAAATTGCAAGGCGAGGTACACGTTGTAACATCGTCAGGTAGACCGTAGACGAGGAAGAAGGCGCAAACGCATCCTCGACTGGTCAGCTCGCAGTTAGGTGGAGAACAGGACGTTGGAACAGGACGATGGACGGCCCATACGGCTGGCCCGCTCGGGGATATCGACCACCGAAAGAGAGGCAATANNGAGGCAATAGGTATTTAGGGTAGGAGCCGAGAACCGAGGTAATTGGTCGGAAGAAGAGCCCTGTGAGAGAATTCTAACCGCGCGCTCCCCTTGCCGCCGTTTAGTCGGTTCGACCGCCTCGTTATCCCTGATTACCGCTCTCACGGAGATTCCGATCCTCTTCGAAAGAACTCCATTGGTGGTCCCAGGGGGGTTCGAGAATTTAGCGAGGTGGTCCGCTTTTAAATCATGCGCCGTGCCGACGAGCCTCTCTCTCTCTCTCTCTCTATCTCTCTGTCTCTTTCGCTCTACGGCGGAACGTCGCTCGACCCCGATAACCATGGCACGGCGTGGCGCGAAATTCAAAGCGGGCAACGTTCTTTCCGAAGCAGGTTTTCGAGGTCGCCACGCTCGCGACGCAATCTCGAGCGTGAAAAAGGAAGAAGGTTGCGGCGTACGATTCGCGCGTAATCTCGATCGCGTTTCCGGAAACGACCGTATCCTGCTTTAGCCTGGCCGAGCAGAAGGCGGAGAGAGAGAGCAGAAGTAGGAGGAGGAGATGGAGGAGAAGGAGGACCGCGAAGCGGCAAGAGGACGGGTGTGCAAGGCACGCGAGCGCGCGGGATGCCTAGGCAGAGGGGAAGTCGGAGGAACTCGAGCCGACCGACCGTTCTCGGTCGTCCTGGCCGGTCGTCCTGGCGAAGAGGCAAAGAGGCAAAGAGGCAGGTTTTATCGGTATATGGTAAGCTAATTAGCGGCGTTCGCAATCAATCGCTTCCGGAGGCGGTAACGAGCTGTCCGTCCTGCATCGGTCGCGAACCAACGCGCGCGCCGAATTTTCCGTATCGCCGTAGCGTTTGCGTATAGAAACGTGTGTTTTTCTTTCTTTTTTTCTTTTTTTTTTTTCGTAAGCCGACCAAAATAAGCGGTCGATCGATCGCGTAGCTGTCGTAATCGTGAATTACCGTGTAAGAAAGAAATCGCGGTCGTAATCGCATCTCGCGTCGGATCGTTCTTTCTTCCGAGAAGGTCGTCGATTGCCGACTCTCGGACGAGTTTCCGCGTAATCCCCACGGCGCACAGAGAACAGAGACACCGCGCACGTATTACCGTTCCTCGTCCGTTCTCGGCGAACACCATCGGCAGCTAAGAAACGAAAGACGACGCAACGACTGGCAACGAGCAACGGCGAAACAACAGAATCGCGACGATTCTCGACTGTCCGTGACTACCGGTACGAACCGAACGACGCGATGCGACGCGACGCGACTACGCGACAGGGAGAAGGCGAAGCGGAAAGGTTGGCGAATCTATTTGTCGCTCGATGTCTCATCGAGGATGCGGTCTTTCCTCTAACGCGTCGCTTCCGACCGCGAACGTTCGTTCCTCGAAACGGCCTCGAACAAAAGCTCGGTTATCGCGATAAAACGCGTCCGCGCTTGTCGTCACACACGAAACCAACGTATATCACCGTGGTCGTTGCTGCGAACCGTTCGACGATCAAACTCGCTGGAAACGAACGTTCATCGACCGTGCAAAAGATTTATCGTGGAACGCGGTGCACGCGAGGTCCGATCGCGTTTTATCGCGGATGCGTCGGTGCGTGTAACTATCGGAAAATCATGGAACAAAACGCGCATTGTCATCGAATTGCCAGACGAAATGACGAATCTTTCGACTCGCGCGATTCCTTCGTTAACTAACGAGTCGGCAAAGAAGAATCACGGCGCCAGAATGAATCATCGTGGCGTGGCTCGGCGATTCGAGCAACGCGTTTCATCGAGTTTTATCCACTTCTCGAGGATACCGCGGTAGCGTGGCTTGGATCGCGAATCGCGGCTCGTTGGCCATGAAACCGCGCGAGCAAACTCGTAATAGGAGCGATTGATCGAGCGAAAAGTTTCCACGCCAGCGACTCCGTCACCTGTTTCGAGCGATCCAACAACCAGCTTCCCAAAACGCATTTTTCAGGCCAATTCGACGGAGAAGTATCGCAGGAGGACGAACGAAAATAAGCAGGAGGAGAGCTACTAAGCGGACTCGACGTTGCCGTCGTTCGGCTCGATCTCCGCGATGTCGGATTCCCTGGAGCCTTCGAGTCGTCGAATCGCCTGAACCAGCCGCGTCTTCAACTTGTTCACTTCCTTGTTGGACGCGATGGGTGTGAGCGCGTTCCACGTCGACGACGGCCGCGTCTCCGAGCTTCCAGACTTTTTCAAAACGGACTTCAGCAGAGCGGCCAGAGCCGCGTCGGCGATTTCTTCCCAGTCCTGTTTGCACACGCGAAGCTTCGTTATGTCTGAATGAACCGTGCGAAGCTGCACGTTATCGACGTTGCGTATGACGTTACTTACGAAACGATCGCACGGACGTGGTTCGAATCCGATCGCTGCCCGCAGCGCTTCGTATTTATCGTTGGTCGCGTTCGATCGTACCAGCAACAATAACAACTCGACGCTGCATCGAAGCTCGTGGCCGGCCCGTTCTCGTTCCTGAGACAATTCGTTTGTTTAATTTACTTGTCGGTTTAATACTTTGACTGCCACGTTGGTCAAATACAATAATCGGTCATTGATGACCGGAGCGCTTCAACTTCTTACGAAACTTCCTCTACTTCTTCGACTTCCGTTACATCTTCTTAAAAATTGTACGAAAATTGACAGTTAGGGCATTTCGAATATTACCGATAAATAGAAGATACTTTGAGACAAAAAGTGTCCCATTGAACGATTAAACACTTTTATCAAAAAATCGATAAAAAAGAAATGAGAACGACTCTTGCATCTAACGATGCACTGTGTTTGCGTCCATATGTTCGAGAGGTAATCTACGAGTATTATTCCAAACACAGCTTAGAAAATAATCGTAAATGCCGCTTTATAATCGTATAATTGAAGTTAGAAGTGTGCACATACCTTACTGTTATATATAGAACGAGCAAATACCGTTTACTAATATCTTTTACGCGTTTCAACGATATATTCTGCACGTTTTGCTCGCGACGAAATAACAAATGCGAATGGTTCGTCGAAATAAACGAAGACTCGTTATAATATGTCGCTATCAATCGTTAGCAAGACGCCACGGTGGTCACCCGTGACCACCAACAAGATAAATGGTTCATTGTGGGAGAATGTTGTCTTACATTCGTTAATTTATTATTATTTCGCCGTTATACGCTTCGAATAATAAAAATACTCCCGTGGCGTCCTCAGCGAAACTTGTAATTTCCGCGTGGCAGTCAAAGTGTTCCAAACCAAAAGCAAGTTACAGCATCAACAGTTGACGGTGTCAGATAGGATACTGTAATAATAATAAGACCATCGCCATTTGCAATCTTTGTAAAAAAATACGTATGCGGAAAATGCACGCGGAAGAAGGAACAATTTAAGTTATATTTGTATTTTATTTATTCTATCACGTTTATTACGCTTATTATTATACAGGGTGGTTGGTAACTGGCGGTACAAGCGGAAAGGGGGTGATTCTACGAGAAAAAAGAAGTCGAAAATATGGAATAAACATTTTTCGTTCGAGGCTTTCTTTTCGGGAAAATCGACTTTGAACTTTCGCTCGGTACGCGTGCACTTTATCGCGTCTCGTTATAACGGATCTCACCGTAGATCGTTGTCTCGATGGAAAAATTAAAAAAAAAAATTTTTATTCTATATTTTCGACTTCTTTTTTCGCCCAGAATCACCCCCTTTCCGCTTGTACCACCAGTTACCAACCACCCTGTATACAGTTACCAACCACCCTGTACTTGTTATATTTACCAATACAAATTTATTTTAATATTCTTGTTACCAAAGATTTTGCTACTGAATATTCTTCGTTATTGTACTTATTGTTATTATTGAAGTTGTTATTATATAGTTTTTATGATCTCAGAACATGGAGTTTCTTTTGTAAGATAACAACAGATCAATACATATAAAGATATTCTACTGTTACGTATTTTTTAAAGACCAGTCGTTTCGACTGGTTTTGGTAGAGAATAGCCACGTCTCGATTGTCGGTAGTTCTAGTGTTAACAGCTGATCGAACTTAGCTTTAATAGCAATAGTACCTGAGCGAATAATACTAGTAAAAGTAACGACTTCAAGCGACTCGCACCGTGCACACAAACGGGAAGTCTCGTACAACGATTACCTCGCTTTGCTTTCGTAAATCGCTGGCTAACAGCTGCTGCGACGCGTATACGAGTAGCGTGGAATTCTTAATCGATGCCTGGGACATTCGAAGCGATTTCTTCGTACTTTATGAATGAAACGTTGAAAACATGCCACCGTTTAATATCTCGAGATATCGCGTTATGCGTTTCACGCGGAAGAAAACACTACTTGATTTCGCCTACTCTATAAATGACGCAGCAGTGGACAAACAAGGAACTACAACCGCTTTAGACGTTACTTTTTCCTTCTCGTTATCTTTTGCTGACCGTATTAATTAACCGTGTAAGAAAAACAACGCCTTAAAATCATCGAGTGTCGTTACGGAGCACCACGCGAATTTCCAAAAAACCTTTCACCCTTAACTTTTCTAATTAAAAAATTGCATAATTTTTTCACGTTCTAAAATAATTTCATGGCTAATAAACAAATTTAGAAAATCGCGTTTTGCAAGTACCTTTTCGATAATTACGTGGCGTATAATAAATTTTGAAATACAAAATACACGATAATAGGTTTTAGTCCGAACGGTATCTTGTCTTTTTTTTCATATTTTCGATTACCAGGAAGCTATAGTCATTTCGAAATACGGAAAAATCATGCGAATTTGAAAACGTACAAAATTTGGCCCGTGTTCGAATTCTGCGTTCGCGTCGACGATTACACGGGAACAAAATCTCTCTGTAAACGAAAGTTTGCTATTAATATAGAACACATTTTTTCACGCTTTTTATGGCGAACGGAAGTATTTTAAAATATACAAAATATGTAGATTTTCTGGACCGGAGCTTCTAATTTTAATAGACCGAAGGGCTAAACAGTTCTGACGCACGCCGTGCCGACATCGTACTCGGGATAAACTGTACGGTACTTGACGCTCTGCTCCAGTCATACCCAGGATAAACTGTTAAGGGATTAAAATACTTTACCCGTCTCTAGTTGTACCATACTTCGAATACGCGTCTCAAATATGGAATCCAGCACGGTCGAATCGCGTGAAATTGCTCGAAAGAATGCAACATAAATTTCTAGTATAAGCAAAAACTTGCCGTAACTATGAAAATATTCTTATCGCTTCGAACATGCTCACGCTCCATCAACGTGCCACCATACAGGATCTGACTTTAGTTTTAGAGATCCTCAACCAATTCGTTCACCATCCAGAAATTCTCGTACTTTTGAAAATTATATGATCCTGAGGTCATCGTTAAAAGAAGGCAACTTTTCCATATCGTTCCATATAGAAGTAACTTTGGTAACTTCGGCTGTATCGATAGATTTTGCTCGATCGTGAACTGTCTTAGCGAGATCGCTGACTTTTTCATCCTCAAACTCCTTAACCCCTTAACCTACGATTTACCTTCGAGAATTTACGTTTGATCCGATCATCTGCTACGAGCTATGCTCGTAGTATTTACGTTTGGTCAGATCATCGTACTACGGGCAATGCCCGAAATATTCAGGTTTGGTCCTATCATCTACTACGGGCCATGCTCGTAATATTTACGTTTGGTCAGATCATCGTACTACGGGCAATACCCGCAATATTTACGTTTGATCAGATCACCTACTATGGGTTATGCCCGTAATGTTTACATTTGATCAAATCATCGTACTACGGGCAATGCCCGAAATATTCAGGTTTGGTTCTATCATCTACTACGGGCCATGCTCGTAATATTTACGTTTGATCAGATCACCTACTATGGGTTATGCCCGTAATGTTTACATTTGATCAAATCATCGTACTACGGGCAATGCCCGAAATATTCAGGTTTGGTCCTATCATCTACTACGGGCCATGCTCGTAATATTTACGTTTGATCAGATCACCTACTATGGGTTATGCCCGTAATGTTTACATTTGATCAAATCATCGTACTACGGGCAATGCCCGAAATATTCAGGTTTGGTTCTATCATCTACTACGGGCCATGCTCGCAATATTTACGTTTGATCAGATCATCGTACTACGGGCAATGCCCGCAATATTTACGTTTGATCAGATCATCGTACTACGGGCCATGCTCGTAATATTTAGGTTTGACCCGATCATCGTACTACGGGTCATGCTTGTAATATTTACGTTTAGTCAGATCATCTACTATGAGCTATGCCCGGAATATTTACGTTTGGCCCGATCATCGTACTACGGGCCATGCTCGTAATATTTACGTTTGATCAGATCACCTACTATGGGTTATGCCTATAATGTTTACGTTTGATCAGATCATCGTACTACGGGCAATGCCCGAAATATTCAGGTTTGGTTCTATCATCTACTACGGGCCATGTTCGTAATATTTACGTTTGGTCAGATCATCGTACTACGGGCAATGCCCGCAATATTTACGTTTGATCAGATCATCGTACTACAGGCCATGCTCGTAATATTTAGGTTTGGTCAGATCATCTATTATGAGCTATGCCCGTAATGTTTACGTTTGATCAGATCATCGTACTACGGGCAATGCCCGAAATATTCACATTTGGCTCGATCATCGTACAAAGGGCCATGCCCGAAATATTCAGGTTTGGTCCTATCATCTACTACGGGCCATGCTCGTAATATTTACGTTTGATCAGATCACCTACTATGGGTTATGCCCGTAATGTTTACATTTGATCAAATCATCGTACTACGGGCAATGCCCGAAATATTCAGGTTTGGTTCTATCATCTACTACGGGCCATGCTCGCAATATTTACGTTTGATCAGATCATCTACTATAAGCTATGCCCGTAATATTTACGTTTGGCCCGATCATCGTACTACGGACCATGCACAAAACATTCACATTTGGCCCGATCATCGTACAAAAGTCCATGCCCGAAATATTCACGTTTGGTCCGGTCGTCGTACTACGGGCTATGCCCGTAGTTGTAGTTTAAGTGGTTAAGGCATCCACACTATCTTAGACGAAATTGCAAAAGTCGCAGCTTATATTCAGTGCTCCTTCTTCTTCTTTAAATTAATTCCAACTTGGAGTATCCGGTACCAACCGACGCATGCTCGTTGAATGAAATAAGCAAAAAATGAATAAACTCACCGCTCGCGCTTGCGCGAGTTGCTCGAGAAGCGCGAAGATCGCGTCACAAGTGGAATCGAAGAGGAACGGCAATCCGGTATCGGGCAGAGATCGCTCGTTTCTTTCTCTCACGGCTCGCAGCATTTTTCTTTCCACATTTCTCAGCTGACTCGTCAGCAGACCTATCTCGTTCTATGCTCGACAATGAATACAACACCGTATAGTTTCGACGATTCTATGAAAGACGACGTTGATCGGTTGCCTCTGTACTTACCGTTATTCCGTTAATCTTTTGTCGCGCGGCAAAATGATCGTCTATCCGTTGATGCACCAACCGAATATGATTTTGTCCTATGGTCGTCCCGACACTTTCCTCCTTTTTGCTCCTCGATCTGTCGATCAGTCGAGAAACGACCAAGGTCGACGACAACCCGTCGTTGGACTGTACCCGATATCGATTTCCGACATTGCCGGAAACGACGGTGACCGTGTAGCCAGAATTCAGGTGCCGCAAACCCAGAGCGTTCCACCCTTGTCTTTGCGACTGATCCGCGCTGAATTCTGAACAGACAACGTTCGCGTTCCTGAGCCACGGGTCCATAGCGTTAACGTGCAAGAATTTTTTTAGAACGATAAACGATAAATTGGCCGTTTTCGATTTTCGCACGTGCCGAAGCGATAAAAAGAAAGCCACGGCGAAAAGGGGAGACGAAGAGCGCCGCGAGGCGAATAAACGACAGATTCGGATCGTCGATCGACGGAACGGAATTTAAGACGCGTTTACCGGGGAACAGCTGGGTGAAGGTGAGCGAAGGAGCGCCGCTCTTGATCACGGTGACGAAGGAGGCCGAGCTTTCAGGCGGGCAGCTTCTCAACATCGTCTTCAGGGGCAATTGGCTGGTTCTTCGCACCGATCTTAAGGCACCTGCGTCCGTTCGGTAAGTCACGGTCGCTCTAATTTCCGAAGAGATCGCCGGCAAATCCCCGTCCACGTACACCCGGGTCTTCGTCGCGTGTCGCTCGCCTGGAAGTTGAGAATTCGGCTGACGTAAAACGTCCAGACACGAGTGTCTTCGAGTTCGCTTACAGAGATTCGGAAGAGCGTAGAAATCGTCAGCGACGACCAGAGGTTTGGATACGTCGACGCAGACCTGGACGTCGCTGAGGACCGCGTACGACGACAACTCTACGGTGACGTTGCAGATCGGTTGTAGCTGCGCCTCCACCTCGCTGTCTGAACGATGATCCGACGAATTCGAATCCAGCGACACGTTTATCGATACTATGAGCTCCGCGTCCATTCCTGCGTCGCTGGTGCGATCCTCTGTCGAACGATCGTTGTTCAATGTCACTGCGATCGTACGAAACGCGTGGCAGTAGCCGTCGTCGTATACGCGCGCATGGTCTCACCGGAATCCTTGCTCTTCCTCGAGAGAGCTCGCAGTTCCGCCAACTCCTGTTCCGCTGCGGTGTAATCGTAACCCCGTGGATGAAGCGGCGGTGCGACGAATAAACTCGGCTCCGAACCTAAGTAGCAGGCTTCCAGTCGACCATCGGCTGACAAGACTACGATCACGCCCTGCAGGTGCTGTAAACATCGCGAGCCACGACGATTGTCCCCAAACGTAACCGTGAAATGCAAAGAGCGCGGCCCTGTTTCGCGATAAGCGAAACTCGCGTTGACTCGACTCGGCCCAACTCGGACTCACCTCTAATTGAACTCTGGCAACGGCAACCGGCGCGAAAGGCAGTTGGGCCGACCATTTCAACGTGCTACCCTCGTAAATCATGAGAGTGCTTGTGTCGGCGATTACGAGCACCATCAACTTCCCGTCCGGTTCTGAAAGCATCGTGAGGTGGATCAGTGCGTCTGTGTTTTCCATTGAACCGATAACGCACGAACCGACCTCAACCATCCAGCTAATTACCGATAACGTAAGCTCGAAAGCAGAGCGGCTTGTATTCCAGCCTCTTGGCGTACTTGACCGACGTACAATTGTCCTTTAGACAGTACAGATGTTTCTCGCCGAGAACCACTATGCCAACCTCGAAGCTGCTCAAAGTGACAGCCTCGATGCCGAGAACCGCTTCGCCGATGTTGTACGTCCAATCTGGCTCGAGGCTCGTGGCATTGGCG